AAATGTCATCCTTTCTTGCAACAATTCAAATCTAAATATTAATAAACTTCCTAATCTCTCTCTCTCTCTCTATCTTTCTCTACCTTTTTAATACATACATTTAATTTTTCAACAATGTATTAAAATATTAATGTTTAATTTAAAACTTTATTAAAACAATTTAAATATTGAAATAAGATGAGTAAAAAATATCTAAAATACTTGTAAGAGAAAAATAAATAGTACAATAAGACAAGTAATCAAACTAAAATAATAAAAATTAATAATTAATGAAAAATCTTATTATAATTATAAATAATATTTTAATATTGTCATTATAAAATTTTGTAATTATAAAGTAATAAAATTTAGTTTTCATTTAAAATTGATTAACATAATAGAAATTTCAAAATAAATTACTGTTTTTAAATTTTAATAATAATAATTATTAAAATTAATTACTATAATACTATACTTAATTTACAATAATCAATTCTAAAATTATTAAAAATATTTAAACAATAATAAACTTCGCATAGTATCATAACTTAAATTACACATCAATAACAATTTAATAAATAAATTAAAATTTAATAAAATTTAAAAGTTTGTTAATTTAAATTCAATTTTAAAAATAAAAAAGTCTGGGTTTTGTATGAATTTGCCTTCGTCCTACTTATGTCCTCATTTTGCCATGTCATTGGTTTCTTGATCTCTGGGCACATCATTCTGTCTCCCATTTCACAACTATAACAAAGGCAAAAACTTCCCAAACATTGAACATATAGGAAGTAAAAACTTCTCAAAAGAGTTTCCTTCTTCCCCCTCTCAATCAAATTTTCTCTTTCCTTTCCAAATCTAATTTCTTCCATTGTATCCGTTTTTCTTCTTTTCTCTTCTCTTGTATCACCCTTCATGTTCTTCCCATTCTTACCATTATTTCATTGTTTCCTTCTCTCAAACAAACTTTTTCTTCCTCAGCTCCTCTAATCATTGTCGTTTGAAGTTCAAAGAGACATTGCTTGCATCGGTTAAGGTTGCTGCTAGCCACAACGTCTGTTAAAGGTTACGTAGCCAAGTGAACACATCAATGTGTGTTAAAGGCTGCGTAACCGATCTTGAGTGAACACGTCAATATTTCATACAAACAAATGTGGGTTTTAATAATACACTGGCATTCACTTGTGTGATTGGTTATGCAGCCTTTTATGCACAGCGTGCCTAACAGCAAATTCCCAATAAATCACTACAAACTCTCTACTATAAGGTCACTGGACCTTACGTGCACCTTGCTTTGTCCGCAAGACTGCAACCCAGTTCTCTCGTCCTATCATGTAATAAAAAGTAAGGCTCAGTTTGGAAGGAGTATAAATACAAATTTGTAGGGTGCAGAACCTTGTACTCTGTATTATTTTGTATATATTTGTACTGTAATATGTGTATTCTTTCTAAATTGAGTCTAAATAAATAAAAGAAACAAATCCTTTTTTTTTTGATAACTAAGGTGGTGTTTGGCATCGATATCGTTACTCTAGAAAATGGTGACACATCAGTGCTACGTTGGAAAATTCGGTGCTTTAGAAAACGGTAACATGTTTGGAACCAATTTTTATTCTAAACCAGGCTTTGGAAATCAAGAAAGCATGGTAAGGGGAAATGCCGAATTCGACGTTTTCTCAATTTTGAAGCTCGTTGCTGCTAACGAGGACATGATGTGGAAGTGACGTGGACTTCTTATAATGGGTACCGGTGCTGAAAACAGATATGGATCACTGGTACCAAACAGAAGGCGTTGCTGTTGCCCTAAGAAACGTCCTACTTGGCAGCAATGTTTCCTAGCAACAAAAAAAGACATTGTTTTCTCATAAACAAATTGATGAGAAGAAACAAAATATCTTAAATATATGATTCAAAGGAGATGAATTAAAGTTAATGCCTTAAATGTTAGATTTAGTGAGATAGAATTAAATGTATTAAATATCTTAAAATTACCTCTTTTCAATTCATTTTATATCAATAACCAATTACCCTATTCGCCCTCATTTTTTATCAATAAAATTAAATATGGAAGAATAAATTGTCCTCACAAAATTTCAAATATTCTTCATGCTATGTACTTTTTTTAAGTAGTATAGATTTAAATTTCATAAAAAAAATCTTATTGCATATTTCTATTTTGACTTTTGAGGACCGTGTGATATGCTAACATCCATTGAGTTGAGTTAGAAGTACGGACAGGCCTAATGCAGATTTCTGATTTCCATTGCAAAACTATAAACATTCAAAATGTCAAAAACCCACAATCTATGCAATTATATTTGTCCGTGAATTAGCATCAATTCCAAGCTGGCACCTACACCAAATGTACTTTAAATCTACAAATTCTGACCCTGGGCTGAACTGTCATTCTCCCATTTTTTTACTGGCCTCCTTTAGGCCATAAGTGGATCATGGGCAATACTTGTCTCTACCGAGTCCTAGGACATGTGTCTAACCAAATGCATTTTCAAAATCAAAAAGTGGTCGGGATGAAAGTATCCATGCATTGAGTCCAATTAATAACCTTATTGGATGCGGATTTAATTCCATTCGGTCGAATTAAAATCTAAGATTGATAAAAATTATATATATGATTTTATAATTGATAAATTAATATTTTGCATTTATATATATTTATTTTAGGTTTCAAAAATTGGATTGAACACAAAATCGTTTTGAGGACTGGTTCTGGGGTCAAATATATAGGCTGTTTTGATTTAAAAATTAAAAAGCTAAAAAAATAATTAAAATAAAAAATGACTATAAATCATTATCCAAATTTACAGTTCAACTTCTCAGGTCAGTGGATTAATGACTAAATCAACTGTTTCTGGCCCAAGAGCAATTTTAGGGTGAAATGAAACTGGTCGTCTGACTGATTTTTGGATCAATCAGTCGGACCGTCCGATCCAGTCCGATTTTCAAAATCATACACTTATTATATGCGAAAGAACAAATAGGGCATGTTCTGGATTATTTATGAGGCCCTGCCACATTTCTACTTCAAACGGCCCCTGGATTTGGATTAGTGGATTAGTCAAATCCGGGTAGCGCTGAACAAGCACTCGATAAATGTTTTGACACTTTTCCCATAATTACTTTCACCTTACCTCCGGAACGAATCAAAATAAATTTGTAAGACAGTTGTCAAAATGCTTCACAAGGATGTGTAAATTTGGTCTCAAATTTGTAAGACATTAAACCCCTTTGGGCCAGCTTCCAACTATGCTAACAAGTTTCATGATTCTTATTTCTTTACTTTAATTAAAATCTTCTCTCTAAATAACTTGTATTCGGCCTTCAAAATGAAAAAGAAAACGAAAAAACCTTGTATTCCAAACGCATTTCAATGTGTAAGCATATAATAGATATATGACTCCTTCACTAATTCCTAACTTTGCTTAAGACTGTTGAGTAATTAAAGATGATCATGATCTTATTATTTTAAGGTAACTTCCATCGCAAGACTGAAATTTTCAAAATGTAGATCCTGCTTTAACCACTTTGTCCACATATTAGAATTTCTCACTTTTGGCTTCCTCACAAACCACGCACCCTAGTAATCAAATCCCATTGTCATTAGGGTTTGGTAGGGGTTAAGGTGATTAACTATCCTGTTGTAATGGTTTTGGAAACTGAACCAGACCGAACGGTTGGATTGGTTGATCCGGAGATTAGTCACAGATCTAAAACCATCCGACTTGGGTTTGAACCAAACGATCAGACCATTTCACTTAGGAACTAGTGGTTAAAATGGTTTTATTTCCGTCCAGTTTTAAAATCATAAAAATAAAACCATATAGTCCCATGAAAAAAAAAAACAAAAGCTAAAATGGTTTTATTTCGCGTTGATTGAGCTGTATTGAGTCTATTGACCAATTGACTGAACCACCCACTTCTAAGAAGCTACCATACCCGAAAGTCAATTTATCAGCTCTGTAAGTTTATTTTTTAACTCTTTTTTGGGCTCCACAATCTTCTCCTTGAACTTCTTCCAGATGTTATTAACAAGAACCAAAGCCATAGACCACTCAGTGGGCCGTCTGCCTCCGACAGCCGCTACAGGCTTAACACTAATATGGGCCCTTCACCCTCTCGGGTTAATTGGATCCAGCCTTTCGTCTGGGCCCAAAATCGGCTTTGCCAGAGAGTCCGTCACAAGGTCCATCTTTCTCTCTCTCAATCAATTCCGTAATAAGAATGAGTTATATTTCGCTCCTCTTAGATTGTAGCGCCTCCATCATACACGTGTCCAGACCTAGGCCCATCCGAAAATAAAAGATTCTGGAGTTTTGAAGCCATGCTTTACTCGTGTAAAATTTCGAACTGGATCGATCGGGCTGAGTCAAGCAGAATATGACGTATCGTGTCAAAATTTTAAGTGGACTCGGAGGAAGGTGGTGGAGAATTAGGGTAACTTTTGGGCCTTATATCAATAAAAGTAATATTTAAAAAAAATTAAAAATAGATTAATTTTTTTAAAAATAATATCAATTTAATGCAAAAATATTATTCATCTTCTTCTTCTTTCAATCTATTAATCAGTGTCATCATCCGCCGCCGCCTTCGACAATGCCTCCACCTATCTTTGCCCATTCCTCTGCCTTCGACAACGTTGTAAGAGGTGGGTAGAGACAGAAGCGGCGACGGTGATGACACCGGTGATCATTCATGTATGTCCAATGCCACCACCTCCGCTTTTGGCAACGTTGTTGGAAGTGGGTGGAGGCAGAGGTGGCGGTGGCACTGGTGGTCATTCCTCTACCCAATGCCGCCACCTCTACTTCTGTCTCTGGCAATATTGTCAGAGATGGGCAGAGGTAGAGGCGGTGGCAAACGATAGTACTGATGGATGAATTGCAAGATGAAGAAGATGAACAGTATTTTTGTTCTTAATTAATATTATTTTTAAAAATTAATCTATATTTATTTATTTTTTAAATATTATATTTATTGGTATTAGAGCCCTAAAGTTGCCAACGTCCCACGTTTTAATTTCTGTGGACCACTGATTCCGTAGATGACAATGACTCTGTCTATCTAGTGCCTACCGCCTAGTGGGTCGATTCGGTCACTCCCTCTCAGCCCTCTGGCTAGAGAGAGAAAGATGAAGAAAGCAGAGCTGATTTTCTTCCCATCGCGGGGAATCGGGCACCTGGTATCGACGGTGGAACTTGCACAGCGCCTTGTCGAGAGGGATGATCGGCTGTCCGCCACCGTCCTCACGCTTCCGGCAACCGCAACCTCACCCTACACAGAATCACTCGACTCCACCCTCACCCAGGTCCGATTAATCAGCCTCCCCCGTGTGGACCTTTCTGGAATGGAGAATCTGTCGGGAGAGTCTTTTATTTCTCAGTTCATGGACAGGCACATAACATTTGTCAAAGATGCTATCACTCAGCGCATCTCCACCGACTCCGTTCGACTCGCCGGGTTGGTCGTCGATCTCTTCTCCACCACCATTGTCGACCTCGCAGACGAGCTCGGCATCCCTGCTTACCTCTATTTCACTTCTGGTGCAGCCATGCTGGGTGTCATGCTCCACCTCCCCAACCTCGTTACAGACATAACCGAAGATTTGAAAGACTACCCAGGTGAGTTGGTAATCCCGAGTTTCGTCAATTCGGTTCCTCCGCTCGTCTTGCCTAAGGTTTTGCTGAACAACAAAGAAAATGGGTACGTATGGATGCTCACTCACGCTCGGAATTTCAGAAGAACGAAGGGTATTATCGTAAATACGTTCGTCGAGATCGAGCCTCACGCCATCCACTCATTCAAGGTCGACAGTCAGATCCCGCCGGTGTATCCGGTTGGACCATTGCTGGACCTCAACGGAAAGTTCCACTCACCGTCGAACCGGCCCCAATTCGACAAGATCATGAGGTGGCTCGATCAGCAGCCTCCGTCATCGGTTATCTTCTTATGCTTCGGCAGTAGAGGTAGCTTCAGTGTATCTCAGACGAAGGAGATAGCTCTGGGGCTCGAGCGAAGCGGTTACCGATTCCTCTGGTCCCTGCGTCAGCCTGAGCCATCAAAATCCAGATTTGCTCCTCCGAGCGATTACAGCTACACGAATCTGGAGGAGGTTCTGCCGGACGGATTCTTGAATCGGACGGAAGGGAGAGGTTTGGTGTGTGGATGGAGCCCACAAGTGGAAGTCCTGGCTCATCCGGCCACCGGTGGCTTCCTTTCTCACTGCGGATGGAACTCGATCTTGGAGAGCTTGTGGTTCGGCGTACCGATTCTGGTGTGGCCACTATACGCGGAGCAGAAGCTCAATGCGTTTCGGCTGGTCATGGAGCTGGGATTGGCGGTAGAGATGGGTTGTGTCAGTAGAAGGAACGGTGATGATTTCGTCAAAGCGGAGGACGTAGAGAGAGGAGTTAGGATTATGATGGACGGTGACAACGAGGTAAGAAGGAAAGTCAAGGAGATACAAGAAAGAAGCAGAAAAGCAGTGGCACAGGGGGGATCTTCGTTCGTCTCGTTGGGACGATTGATTCATGATGTAATTGAAAGGATCTTATGACTTTTAACTGACATTTTACAAAATAAATGATCAAGTTTGGTTATTTAATAAATAAAATCAGTTATGTTTCAAAATAATCGAGTGAACCGAAAAAATATTTAATTTTTTTAGAATAAGATAAAGGTAAATTTCTTAAACCTTTAATTTACAAAGTGTATCCTTACTTTTACAAAATTGACTAAGGCTATCCATATTATTTTTGACAATTGAGTAGTCTATCCTTACCGTTAACATTTTTTAACTTTTTGATATCATGTCCAATATATTTATCAAAAATCCCACCTCCATTCCTAAAAATGCAACATCTATTCCTAAAATACCATCCCTAAAACCTCTCCGTTGATAGACAGTAGAGACAGTGGTCTGAGTGTGAGTTTTGCTGAAAACCAACAGACGAATAGAGATTGGTTAGCTTGCTAATCTCCATCTCCAGGTAATGTTTTCTTTTTCACGAAAAAGAAATTTTATTGAAAAAACTCATTAGTTGTTGTGGAGAGAAAGAACTAAACAGTTGATCCGTCGACCTTTGAGTCCTCCACAGATGAACAGTTGATCCGAGATAGAAGGCGATGAACTAAAAACGATAGCATCATTGAAAGCATCAAAGAGCTCACCCTCACCTTCGAGCCCTCCACATATCCTTGCCAAATCTGGCACCATTAGTCGGCGCTCGTCTTCAGTACCAGTAGCTACATGCTCACTAAAGCTGCTACAGTTGCCAAACAGAACCCCACCAAAGACTCCAACGTCTCCCTATCCTCTGTCAAAAATGATCCCTCAACTTTACTAGTGTTAGCGTATTCTATCAAACTAGTATTATTATCTCCTTCTTTTGTTTCTAGGAATATAGCTGTACATATCTTATCTTCTTATCTCTTATTTCTTTACTTATTGTAGCCGACTTTGGGTCGCCGACCTTGTCTCCCTATTGTATCCCTATTATAAATAGAGCTGTATCCTATTGAATTGAATATCAAGAGAAATTATTATCTTCTCCATTCATCCTTCTTGCTTTCGTGTCATGGTATCAGAGCCTTTGCTCCTTTGTTTGCCGCGGTTGGAGTTGCTGTAGGAATTTGCAGATTTCAGTTGGTGCACAATATCTGCATCAACCCTGAAGTCAGGGTTAGCAAGGAAACCAGAACTGCAGGAGTGTTGGAGAACTTTGCAGAAGGAGAGAAATATGCTGAGCACACTCTCAGGAAGTTTGTTCGCAACAGGGCCCCTGGTTGCGAGTCGTCCGCTACTTTCACTGCCGTCTGTTCGCTCTCATTTCTTCCGTCTTGCAGCAACGTCCAATGGCTTCCTCTGTCAATTGATGGTTGAGGCCTGAGGTTTATCCTTTGACCACCCAACCAACTGGAGCCCCACATCGTTCTGGATTGAGCACTCGGCGAGCGTCTGCTCCCAATGAAGCTGCTACCCTTGGTAAATCAAACGCTTTTCGATGATCGGAATCCCAATTATCCTTCGAATTTGCTCATGAACAGATTCAATAGAATCCTCGGAGTTGGTGTGTAAGACCGGAAGATTCATCATTGGCTCCGCTAGGTGATAATCGAGTCTTGTTTTCTACTTCGGAGGAACTGACAACATCAACTTCGTCTCTCTTCATTCTTATGGAGACTAAGTCACTGAAATCTTCGTCATAAGAACCATAGTCGTCGAACTTCCTCTTGGAAGAAATCTGGTCGTGTTGTTGGTTGACATAGCCGAATTTCCTCTTCATCAGAACTCCTTGAGCTTCCTCAAGAAGTGTTGTTAGGTGTGCTGCGTTCTTTTCTTCTGCTTAAGCCAGATGAACCCGCTGCTTAAATCGACGGTTCACATCTTGTGGTCTGCGAATTAGAAAGGAAGGTTACGTAGGTGCAGAACCTTTGTTAGCGTCTGCGTGTACCAGAACTGAGGCTGCCCCGATGAAGAAGACATTAGGAATTCTGCGAAGTTTTTTTTAAGGTCAGTATTTTCCCATGATTCGTGTTGCTCCAAAGATCTGTGTTTCTCTTCATGGATTCATTTGAAGCTACTTAACATATCTCTCATCCCACCACTGTTATCTTCGATGGATCAAAATATGATTTATGGTCCCAAGAGATGTGCAGTTTTCTCAAGGGACGCCTTCTATGGCGATATGTGACTGGTGAGATTCCCAAACCTACTAAAATTGCTGATGAAACAAAAGATAAATTTGTTGAACGAATAGAAAAATGGGACAGGAAAAATCATCAAATATTGACCTGGTTTTGCAATACTTGTATTGCAAGCATCAAGTTGGAATTTCGCAGATATGACTATCCTAAAGAGGTATGGGATTTCTTACAAGCCCGTTATTCTATTTCTGATGATGTGCATCAATTTCAGCTCTATAGGCGTCTTCACCGTATGAAGCAGCAACTTGGACAGACCATTCACAATTATGTCTCTAAATTACAAGTTCTTTGGGATCAGTTAGCACAATGTGAACTTGAATGGGATAATACTTCTGCAGCTACTACTTATTCCAAGCTTCGCGATCGCCAACGTGTTTGGTATCTTCTGATGACTCTCAGGGATGAGTATGAACCTATTAGTGGTACTCTACTTCATCGTAGCCCATTGCCTTCTCTTGAAGTTGTGTTCAAAGATTTGCTTTCTGAAGAAACTCGTCTAAAACACTTCGAGATGAGCGATCCTTATTATCTACTGATGCTGTTCTTGCTACTCCGAGTACGTCTGCTACTTCTTCAACTAAATCTTCAAAATGGACTTTTTGTAATTACTGCAAGAAGACTGGTCACACTATTTCTGAGTGCCGTCGCTTGCAAGCCAGAAAGGCGTCTGAACAGAAGTCCTCATCCATGGGTTCTCCGGCTTCGAGTTCTACTGCAGCTGCTGCCACAGAGATTTCTTCTGATAACACCTCTCCAAAATTTTCTCTTAGAGAACTTTAAACTCTTCTTCACTAGCTCCAACCTGATTTTGGTATGCCTTCTAATTCAGTCTTGTCCGTCACTCCAAGTACTACCTCATCATGGTATTTTGATTATGCCTATTGCAATTATATGACATCCAATTCATCACTGTTCACTTCTAAGTCACATCCTTCTATTGCACCAATTGTTCATACTGCCAATAGTTCCACCTTAACTATCAAAAGTGTAGGCACTATTTCAACATCTCATTTGTCACTTCCTAACACCTTTTTGGTACCTCAAATTATTTATAAATCTTATATCTGTTGGACAATTATGTGAACTTGATTTTGAAATACATTTCTCAAGTCGTGGTTGTACTGTGCAGGATCCACGAACAAGGAAAATCATTGGGATAGGACATATGGTTGGGAGACTGTTTGAGCTATCATCTCTTCAATTACCATCTCTTGCTACTGTTGTCACCTCTAGCGTCTGGCATTCTCGCCTTGGTCACATTTCTACCTTTAAATTAGGATCTTTAATTTCTAATGGATGTTCGGGTCCTGTTAAACCAACACACTTTGATTGTGTTTCATGTCCTCTTTCAAAACATCATGCTTTGCCTTTTAATATAAGTGATTCTATTTCTTCTGCACCTTTTGATCTTATTCATTCTAATATTTGGGGCCCTTCGCCTCATAATACCATGGGTGGTTCACGTTATTTTGTGATCTTTGTTGATGATTTCTCTCGATATACATGGATTTATCTCATGCATAATAAATCTGAATTACCTGCAATTTATATTCAATTTGCCACCATGATCAAAACTCAGTTTTCCTCTATCATCAAGATTTTTTGCACTGATAATGCCATGGAATATAGAGATTCTATTCTTATCCAATTTCTTTTACAAAATGGAACTATCATTCATAGATCTTGTCCCGGTACCTCTCAACAAAATGGGCATGCAGAACGAAAACATAGGCATATTCTTGATACTGTTCGAGCTCTTTTAATCTCTTCCTCTTGTCCTAAACGTTTTTGGGGGGAAGCAACCCTCATTGCTGTTTATACCATCAATCGCATCCCTTCTCCTGTTATTGGTAACATTTATCCTTATGAACGATTGTATGGCCACTGCCTTGATTACTAGTCTCTTCGTGTATTTGGTTGTGCTTGTTTTGTTCTATTACAACCTCATGAACATACTAAATYGGAACCAAAAGCACGTCTATGTTGTTTTCTCGGGTATGGTATTGAACATAAAGGATATCGGTGTTGGGATCCTCTTTCCCAATGACTTCGCATATCTCGTCATGTTACCTTTTGGGAACACAAAATGTTCTCCAACCTCTCTCCATTTTGAGTTACCATGACCTCTTCACATTTTTTTACTGATCCTACTATCTCACTTTTTCCTGATGATTTACCTACAGGTTCGACTACTTCTTCATTTGATAGCTCTAACAGTACTGCACCACCTGCAACCTCTCCTGATGCATCTACCTTGGTTATGGATCCTCCAGCTCTTGCCTTCTTCTGAGCCCTTGATTCCTCCTGATGAATTCGACCCTGCTTATTCTGATGTTTCACTCCGTCGCTCTGGTAGAGTCACTAAACCTTCCATTCTTCTTTGTGATTTTCATTGTTATTCTACCATTGTATCTTTATATGAGCCTTGTATCTATCATGAGGCTAGTACTGACCCTCTATGGCAGAAAGCAATGGCAGAAGAAATTCAAGCTCTTACAAGCACTCATACTTGCGATTTAGTTGACCTGCCTCTAAATCCGTGATTGGTTGCAAATGGATCTACAAAATCAAGACTCGGGCAGATGGTTCAATTGAAAGGTATAAAGCTAGATTTGTAGCTAAAGGGTTCACACAGGAGTATGGCATTGACTATGATGAGACTTTTGCCCTAGTAGCCCGTCTCACTTCTGTTCGTAGTCTTATTGCGATTGCTGCAACTAAGCACTGGTAGTTATTTCAGATGGATGTTAAGAATGCTTTTCTCAATGGTGATCTTTCTGAAGAAATTTATATGCAGTCCCCTCCTGGTTATGATCATCTCCCTAATCAGGTTTGTCGTCTCCGTAAGGCTCTATATGGACTTAAGTAGGCGCCTCGAGCATGGTTTTCCAAATTCAGCTCTATTGTTTGTGAGTTTGGTTTTCAATCTAGCACTT